ATTAGTAAAACCAAAGGTGACATGCTGAGTATGATTACTAGGCACAGATGTGGAACTGGTATTTACTGTAGCTACAGTGTAAGCTGAGCTATTATGAAAGTCTACTTAATTGAACTTGTCCAACCTGATTTCGTACTTCTATAATAGAAATTGGGTTTCTTGCAGAGACACTGAGTCAGTTCTAGATTCTATTCATGAAGTAAGATTTACAACAACAGCATCATATTATGGACCTACTCCATCTAAGATATACTGGAGCAAATCTCCCTCAGAAATAATTTGTCCACTAGTTGACAAACTGTCAGAGATTCCTTTCATCTTTCTAACATATTTGCTTATACTAAGATTGTCTTTGTTAGTATTTTGAAGTAAATTCTTTAAAAGTAAATCCATAGCTTTGGAGTCTGTAATAAATTCTTTTTCAAGAACAAACCAAATTTTAGTGGAGTACTGACATTTGGAAACAGTTCTAAACATATTCTCAGAGATCAAGGCTAACAACTAGCTCATAAGAAACTTATCAGTTCGTTTCCATAGACTGTAAGCTAGATTGATTTTTTTCTTTAGAAAACAACTCAACATCTTGACCATCAACAGTATCTTTAGAACTATCAAAATTGCTAGGAATTAATAGAGCTAGACAAGGAACTAAACCTGTTAGATGATCCTCCAATTCGTGAGCTCCTACTGCAAAAAGTACTTGAGAGCGCTAGAATCTGTAATTGTCTAGAGTAAGCTTTGGATTAATATCTTGGAGACTAGAGGAAAAAGCTGAGGAAGTGAGACTAAGAAATTGTTGATAGAGTTGTGAAACATTTTGTCTATGTTGTTGGTTGAATTGGAGCTATCATAGTTTTCCACAATTGACATTAGTCAAGGATGCTCTGATACCATGTGAAGGTTAAGGATTTGAGTTACAAAAGTCAGCTTTAATAGCTGATTATTACAGCACAAAAACAACAGCACTTTAAGCTTTCTAAAAATGTCACCGTTTGTCTAACAGCCCCTGTCAAGCTAAACTGAATTTACAGTTTCAGCTTGGTAATATTTGTCCAACAACAACAAGCACCTCTCCACATGCTTCCTCGCAGGACAGCCTCTAATGCTGCCACATTTATAGTATCCCCTGCACAAATTAAAAAAAGGCTTCAAATTTTAAACTTGAAAATGACATTTCTTTAAACAAGGTTTACCAAATACCCTTGAATTGCACCTACATTCTTACAGAAAACCAAACTAAACTATGAAAAACAAACTTCCCCATTTGCCCCAACAGTTTTGTTTGAATATCCATAGCAAGGCAATAATCGATTAAGTAAAAATAAAGTCACCACCTAAAACTATTCAAATAGCGATTGTTCGACATTACGCCTACTTATAATCCAACGGTAACAACTGGCACAAAAGTAATAGCATAACTACTTACAAGGGCACAAAAAATTCAGCCCAAGTTACCAAACACAGAAAGTCTTCCCACACATTGAGTGTGCAATAACGGAAAGAGAGGGAAAAAGAAAAAGTTTTCTTCATTTATCATTCTTCAACGCTTTCCCTGGAAAAGCACTAATTTTTTCTTAATCAACTAACATTTTACCATATTAAATCTTTCATTTCCAATAAGAAGTTGATACATACACATCATACAATAGAACAGTAAGTAGAAAGCAAATTCTGACGAAAACTCACAGAAGCATACGGAAAAATGACAAAAAAATAAAAAATATGGGCGCCATTTGCAATATCACCATACCCCAAAAATGGGAAATTGAATATACCAAGGGTGAGGAGAGCCCTTAATTGATTTCTGTCCATACTTCCTCCAAGAATAATCGTGAGGAGGGATATCGGTAAGCTTGGTGCTGATAGCAGGCACCTTGATAGACCTCTTCACTCGATGTTTCCTGTCGATAGAGTAACCAATCATGCAAAATGGAAGACAACAGATCAAACAAATACATTAAATTAAAAAAGTGAAATATTATTAACAAGAAATAGCATAAACAAGGATGCAAGTTAACCTCTTCTTTGAGCAGTGGCACCTGCCACTGCTCCCACATTTCACACTCCCATCTTCCCCACTTTTAAAACACTTCCTCCGGTGGGTTTACACTCCCATCTGCTCCAAAAACAGAACCTTTGCTAAATGATAAGCCCATAAAATCAATTTGCCATATGTAGATAAACCAAAGACACCTGCAACAAGGTTTTGAACCAAAATTTTAAGAAATTCAACTCCTCAAACACTTACATTTGCAAACGAAACAAACCCAGCAGATCAGATTCAAGTGGGTTTACAAAAAAAAAAAACAATTAAAAAAGAAAAAACAGAGACCTAGATAAGGATTTCAACACAGAAAGAAATCTAAGAAAACATGACCAGAAAAACACAGACCTTTGTTGGACTTGGTGGTGTCAAATCCTAGATACTTCCCGTCCCGTGGGTTAGAGATAGGAAGGTGTGAAAGAGAAGACTTTGAATCCCCACCAAACTCACCCCGTCCAACATAACAGTCGCAGCAAAAGCCCCCACCTTCATCCTATGAACAACCATCAACCCCTCCCCCTCCAACTTAACAACCGCAACAAGCTCTCTCACCTCCATCATCTGCAATCAAAGCTCCCCACCTCCATCAAAGTCTCAATCAAAACTCTTCTCCTCCACCATCTTCGTTACAATCTTTCAATTATCAACCCACACTAACGAAAAATAGAAACCCACGAAATAAAATAACAACAATCATATCAACCTTGGCTTGTTCCATGGACAGTAAACGGAGAAAAAACAAAAAAAAAAAAATGCCATTGTCGGCAAGCTCGCAGCGCAGCGACACTGCCTGGATACGGCCTTTGTCGAGGGGGATGAGGATGTAGGTAGGGGATGGTGGGGGATTGGGGTTGTGCATGGCCGGCTTAAGGGGTAGGCAGGTGAGGCACCTGCCTAGGGCCCAAAACAAATGGGGGCCCAAATTTTTTATAAATTTTTTTTTTTTTTTTGAATATCTTAGAAAAATGAAAATGGTTTATAATTTCTTATCTAAGTTAAGGGGTCCCAAAAAAAAGCCAAAAAAACCTAAATTTATTATAAATTTTTTACATATATTTCCACCCAAAGTTTAACAAAATAGCAAGTTTGTACCTCTAGTTTTATATATTCTAGTTTATACCCTTAAATTAACACATTGAATCTCTTTTAACAATGGAAGATTAAAATAGTCATTTACATATCTTAAATTACTCACCCCCAATTCAATCCCAAAATTTGACATTCACATAAATCATCTCCAGCCCTCTTCTGTCGCCAATGGTTTGGAGTTGATTTCGGTCAATTTTGGTTTCGATCGATTTTCTTACCAAAATCATCCAAAATCATCATTTCATCATTTTCCAACCTTGATAGCCTTTAATTTGACTAATTTTTTATGAATCTCGCAACCTAACTCCACCACACGACAGCTATTTCCAGCCTTTTTGGCATGTACCCGACATTGTTGGCCTTCCCCGACACCACCATCTTCCTCCCCTCAGCCCTCCCACCAAAACTCCTATCATACCTTATCCGTTTACTCTGCCAATCATCGGCCATCGATACCTTTTGGGCCGTGACTTCTCAAGCCTTTTCTTATCAATCTTGGCATTGGAAATCACTCATTTTACCACCCATCACTTCTCTAACATCTACTCTCTAAAACCCCCCACCAACCTAACCTTATTAGTCTGTCGATTGTTGTCCACCTCTCCTAGTGATTTTTCACCTCAAAAGGCAAAAAAATAATAATAATAATAATAATAATAATAATTTTTTTAATATATGCTTATAATATTAGAGGACCCCAAAGTAACTCTTGCCTAGGGTCACAAATATTCTAGAGACGGCCCTGGGGTTGTGAAGGGTGGGTGTGGTGGCCGACTGGGGGAAGGAGAGAACGAGAACGGTAGAGGAAAGAGAAGGAAAAATGTTAACATTTGAATAGTGTTAGGAAATTTTGAAAACAAGTTCACCGTCTTTTCAATTTTAGACAAAAATTCTTATTCGAAGAGGATTGATTTTCAAGTTAGATTTCTTTGATAAGTATTCTACTTTTTAATCCAAATAGAATAGCAAAATAATATTCCAATAGTGTAAAAAACAGGTATTTCTCCAATTTAGCTTTCATGCTTACAATATGAACCATATGTTAGAATTTTCATTTGTCAAATATTATTAAGTTTATTCGATTGGTATGATGTATATAGGTGGTTTACACAATTCTTTGAACTAATTTTTAGAAGTAAATTCGATCTAGGTCCATTTATCATAATATCATATTTGTGTTCGTTGGCGTGCAATGGTAGAGTGATAAAAATGTTGTAAAACTGAACTTCTTCAAAATAAAATATGATAAGATCCAGTTAGGTAGCCCAACTCTTATTTTATTACCTAAATCCAAAATCCACCAACATATATTGAAATGCCAGCTTAATGTCTTTATACTGTTTCTGTTTTGGTGCACAACATTTAGCATCTGAATTTCACATTCAAGCGGCTGGGATATAAGCACTTTGAGGCACCTTTCAATCAATTAGAGTTTCCTATTTATTTGCAGGTGCTAGTTCTGCAGAAGTTACGTGTGAGCTTTAATATTGGAACCCTGCTGAAGTTGAACCATGAGGATGATTTGTTGCAAACAGATATAGTGATCCTTTCCCTGGTGAAAGAACAAGTTCCTGTATCTTGGAAGGAGCTTTCAGGGCCTCCATTGATGCTCTGCTTTTGCACAATTTTTGGTTTATGCTTTGCTTTTGCACATTTTGCCAAGTAAAGTGATTTCTGTTTCACTGATTTCTAGTTTATGATGTTATTTTAGAATTTAGAGGAACAATCATGTTAATTGATGAACACATGGTAATTCAAACCTACACCTAATAAATTTAACCCAAACGGCAGCTAAGGAATTAATTATGTTTAGTTTGTCAGAGTTCCAGGACACAAATTACCCATCTCAAAGGCTATATTATACTATTCATCTGGCTGCAAGATCTGTAATTGTTACATCATTAATGGATGAAGTACTCCCTGAATAACCTTCCAACTGTCTTGTAGATTTTTTTGGTTTGTTTTGATTCGAGAAAGCAGGCTTCTTTGGAATCGTCATATTCTTGTTTTCATTTTTGAGCATCGTGTAGACTTCCAACATGGATGGTCGATCCACTGGATTTTCCTGAACACATAAAAGTGCTATTTGCAAGCATCTCATTAGTTTAAAAGACGAATATGTATCGTCTAGTGATTCGTCCATTAACTTCATGCCTTTACCATCTTTCCATAGCTCATATGCCTAAACATCATATAATTTGGAATCATCAAGCTTACCCTAAGGGTAATATTTTCACCCTCATACACTTCAAACAAGTTAAATAAAGAATTTAAACTTACGTAGTCAAGAAGACTCAGTCCCTCATTTGGACCATATAACAAGGAGATCCGTTTGTCACTGATGACTTGTAAAAGTAAAACCCCAAAGCTATAAACATCGGATTTAGTCGAGTATATACCCTTTTGGATGTATTCAGGAGGGACATAACCACTGCATCAAAGTATTACAAACAATGACTAACTAACAAAAATATAAGTCAAACTAATAAAATTGTGACAATAATACAACATTAAGAGTAAACATACGGTGTTCCAACAATGCAACTTGTATTTGCTTCAAGATCATCTTTTGCAAATATTCTGGCCATCCCAAAATCTGATATTTTGGGTTTCATTTCCTGATCTAATAAGACATTACTGTCTTTTAAATCTCGATGAATAATAGTAAATCTTGAATATTCTTGGAGATATAAAAGCCCTTGAGTAACTCCTTCAATAATATGCACACGCTTTTTCCAATCCAAAATAAAGCGTCTAATAGGGTCTGCATCAAATTTTATCATAAAACATCAATGTAACCGATACAAGCTAATACAAAAGGAGAAAAATAGCAAGTTCGTGTACAAATATTGAACATAAAATTCAGACCATAAAGGTAAGAGTCTAAGCTTTTGTTTTGCATGTATTCATAGATGAGTATTTGTTCTTCCTCGTCAATGCAAAAACCCAAAACTCGGACAAGATTTACATGTTGGAGCTTGGCAGTAAGCATAACCTCATTCCTAAATTCCTCAAATCCTTGTGTGGATGTCTTTGAAAGTTTCTTAGCTGCTATTACTTGTCCATCTGGTAGTATTCCCTAGCAAAATACACTCTAGTTGGTTAGTAATTTTCAATAGATAAAGCTACTCCTGATACCTTTTCTATGCCAAAGATATTACGCTAAAGACTAAACTTCAAAGTTCTCAATTTTATGATAAATATAAATAGCTTTATTAAAAGGTACCTTATAAACAGGGCCATATCCACCCTGTCCAAGCTTATTTTCAACTGAAAATCCATTGGTTGCTGGCTTGCTGCCTCCATATCAGCCAATGTATATTCTATTAGACTAGGAACATTGCAGTTAAAATCCCCAGCAGAGGCTGCTTTATTTGCTTTATCTCTGGATTCCACCATAGCTGTCAACCAAGAGAGAAGAAGAAAAAATAATCATTAATCATTTTTAAATGAACCTCTAGCAATCTTTGTATATTCATTGATACCTTTTAATTTGAGATTTCTCCTCCAGCAGTAAAATATCACAAATATTCCCAATAGAAGAGCAAAAGCAGCTGTTGTAGATAAAAGGATTGCTAATAAATGCCTTTCATTATTTTGCCCAATTTTGTTATCCTCCTGAACTGAAGAATTATTTACATCCACTCCAGCTGGCAAAATAATCAATATATTAACTGAAGGTAACCAAAAGATCTTAATTCAAGGAGTACTCTGTTTAGTTTATCATAGCTTACCTGCAGTTTTCGAAAGCACCCAATTAACATCATCGGATACGTTCCACACATGGTAGCCAAGTAGCTTCTTCTCCTTAGCATAAGAAACCTTAGCTCTAACAGCCTCCACGTCATCAAATCCAATCCAAGTTGTTCCTTTTGTCCAGTAATTTACAACATAAGTTGAGTTGTAATTAACATGAACATCAGGACCTTATTGCTCAACGTAATTCTTGATGTGCCTATATGTTACTCGTCCATCTGGCATATTAATGGCAGGTCCCTTTGCTGCTGCACCAATACCATTCTCCATCGGGTTATCTAGCATCCATGCGTAGCCAAATAGAGGCAAACTCAAAACCAATTTATTAGTTGATAATCCTCCATTGATCCATTCTCTTATACCGAAATCCGTATTAACAAAATTACTTGGGTCATACAGAGCTGCTTGAGCGCCCGTAAGGTTATTTACAAGAGGTTGATTGTAAACCTGAGACACAACATTAACCTAATTCAAATGTTGTTGTATCGTCTCTATAGGGTAACGTGCGCCAGAATCCAGCGTTGGTGAATATTTAACCCTTACTGTCAAGATCAGTTGGGACTGGACAGAGTCTGTCGCCTCTAAATCGATAGCAGCTCTCCACTCTTGAAAGAGAACTTCCATATTGAACACATCAGAGCTTGTGTGTGGAAAATGCCAATCAAAGTCTAGGCCTTGAAAACCGTAAAGCCTGGCTAATTTTATCGAGGAATCGATGAAGGATTTTCGGTAAGAAAAATCGCTTACCATTAAAGAAATTGCTGAATTATTTGCATTGCTGCCTCCAATGAATAGCAGCGTGGTGAGCGATGAGTTCTTTTGTTTCACAGTACGTGTGAATGTGGAGAAATGTTCTGCATCAGTTGGTGATAAAGAGAGCTGGTAGGAGGTGGAATTCACAGAAGCATAAGTACAAATAATGTTAGTGAAGAGAGAAGAATTAATGTCCGAAATGAGGAACTCATAATCTGATGAATACGAGTAATAGCCAACCCTGATCCAATCAGGTTGGGCTATAGAAGGGCGCAATTGTAGAGAGAGGAAAATATAGAAAACTACAGTCAAGATAATCTTGGGCATCATTTGAAGCTGCTTAAAGCACAACTTGTTATCTCTTAGCTGTTTTGTGCTATGTTTATAAGCATATCAAGTGGAGAAGAAAGCTCTGTAAAATTTCTTGCAGACACTAGTTTTGACGTGAAAAAAACTTCAATCTTTGCGCAATATGAAATCAAATCAAGTCAAAAAGAAAATGGAAACTCACTGCTGGAAACCAATTGTAGGGTGTGTGGGGTAAGCACAGAAGAGAGAGAAGAATTAATTGTGTTTAATTGATAATTTTTATTTTCTTCCTTTGACTGATTCAGAAAATTCTGTTAAAATTGATGTTTCATGAGTTTATTGAGTACGAAATACTTCAAGTAATAATGCATATGCAAATTTCATATATGAACTTTTATATACAATTTATTTTTTTATTGTCATATTATAGTTCATCCAAATATATTGTATTAGCCATTTTACTTTCCTCCGGAAATTAAGTTCAATTTGTACTTTTTTATGATTGTGACAAGTTTTTAATCTATCGTTTTACTTGATTTATGGATTTTTTTTTTTTTTTACTTAATGTCATGTAAATATGTAATAATTCTTCAAATTAAGATCCGTATAAACATGAATGATAAGTACCAAACCTCTAGCCTTGTGGCCAGACAATCAGACTTTAGTCATATAGGTGGGTTACCTAAAGATTTTGTGTTTGAGTCCCACAAAGTAGCTATCTACTACATACATTGAGTCTGTAAGGTGTTGAATGAACTTTAAGGATTAATTGAAATACGCACAAACTGATTTATTGGATGTTCAATGAACTCTAGGGATTAAGCTGGCTCAAACACCCAATTATAGAATAAAATGATAAGTGCCAATGACCAATCACATTGGGTACCTAAGTTAAAAGGCATATATTTAGAAAATTAAATTACGAGTTATAAATTATTTTTTATTTAAAGAAATACTTTTTTTTTTATAATATATTATTTCTGAATATAAATTCTTTAAATGATAAAACAGAAGGTCAAAGTCTTTATGTAGACCAAATCATCTAAACTATAGTTACAGAAATTCTACACGCATGGAAAGTTTATAGTGAAATTTCTGGCCCACACAAAAGACTTTGACTTGGCAAAATATTAATAATAAAGACCTTGACCTTCCTTGCAAAACATATTAAAAGCTGTAACCCCGTTAAAAGAAAAGCTGGACCGGTTAAGATAATCTTGCAACAAGATATAATTACTAATTAGGGGGCGTTTAGTTGACGATTATATAAGATTATTAGGGTTAAGCCATCTTATATTACTTGATTATCAAGTTTTGTTTGTCAAGTAATATAAAATTCCGGTAATCTTCAAATACCAATAGTAGCTACTGTTGTTAATATTGGAGGTAATCTAATTACCTCAATTTTCTTAGGTACTGTAAGATTATTTAGGTAGTCTTTTTTTTTTTTTTTTTTACAATTATATCCCTTATTAATAGAATTTTAGGACAATAATGCCCTTATTTTTAAATTTATTTACATGAATCTTGCTTTTACCATTTCATCCCATTTAATTAATTTTTTTTGACAAAATTACCCCTGAAATCGAAACAAATTTCAACTTACCCAACCCACCACCCCCACCCACCTGCTGTAGGCGGCCGCCAGCCAAACCACTGTTGACCATAGCGGGAAATCGTCGGAAGTCACCTGGAGTCGCTGTGAGCAGCCCACCATGACCGGGAGGCCTCGATATGGCCGTTTTTGGCCATATTGATGGCTGAAAACAGCCATATCAGGCTAGAACTGGTCGAAAATGGCCAGATCTATTCTGGCCATTAACGGCTCTGACCATTTTCGGTTAGACTGATGGGTCTCACTATTAACGCCAAACCCTTGGCCTTTATTGGCCAGATCTAGGCGAGATCTAGCCGTTAATGGCCATGGACCTGGCCGTTAATGACCATATCTATTCCGATCAGAATAGATCTTCCATGGCCATTAATGGCCAGATCTCGCCCAGATCTGGCCGATAATGGCCAAGGATCTAGCCGTTAACAGCCAGATCTAACCTGATATGGCTATTTTCGGCCATCAATATGATCGAAAACAACCATATCAGGGCCTCGTGGTTATGGTGAGCTATCACAGTGACTTTCGGAGACTTCCTACAGTGGTTCGCGATGGCGGCAAGGGGTGGGGGTGATTTTGTTATAAATTAAAGTTTTAGATAAGTGGGGGTGTTTTAGCTAAATCTGAAATATTAAGGATTAAAAGAAATTATTCAAAAAAAAATATATATTATATTAATATTTAAAAAGAGGGCAATTTAGTAATTTAAATAACATACCCACCAATTTATTCTTCCTAACCAAACTTATTAATATAACATACCCACCAACTAACTAGACATATTTTTTTAAAGATTCCTAGTAATCTTCAAGGTAATATAAGATTCCAGTAATCCACCATTCTCAGTAATCCAACATTCCTTGAACCAAACTCCCTCTTAGTATCATTTGGAATGATTCATAGTACGAAATACTTCAAGTAACAATGCATATGCAAATTTCATATATGAACTTTTATATACAATTTTTTTTTTTTAATTATCATATTATAGTCATCCAAGTATATTGAATTAGCCATTTGACTTTCCTCTGGAAATTAAGTTCAATTTGTACTTTTTCATGATTGTGACAAGTTTTTAATCTACCGTTTTACTTGATTTATGGATTTTGTTTTTACTTAATGTCATGTAAATATGTAATAATCCTTCAAATTAAGGTCTGTATAAACATGAATGATAAGTACCAAACCTCTAGCCTTGTGGCCAAATAGTAAAACTTTAGTCATTTGGGTGAGTTGTCTAGAAAGTTTGTATTAGAGTCCCACAAAGTAACTATCTACCACATGCATTGAGCTTGTAAAGTGTTGAGTGGACTCCAAGGTTTAATTAAAATGCGCACAAACTGATTTTTTGGATGTTCAATAAACTCTGGGGATTAAGCTAGCTCGGACACCCAGTTATAGAAAAAAATGATAAGTACAATGACCAATCACATTGGGTACCTAAGTTAAAAGGCATATGTTTAGAAAATTAAATTACAAGTTATAAATTATTTTTTATTTAAAGAAATACTTATTTTTATAATATATTATTTCTGATATAAATTCTTTAAATGATAAAATAGAAGGTCATAATCTTTATGTAGGCCAAATCATCTAAACTATAGTTACAGAAATTCTACACGCATGGAAAGTTATAGTGAAATTTTTGGCCCACATGAAAGACTTTGACTTGCCAAAATGTTAATAATAAAGACCTTGACCTTCCTTGCAAACACAGATTAAAAGCTGCAACCCTGTTAAAAGTGGACCAGTCAAGATAATCTTGCAACAAGATATAATTACTTTTTAGTATCATCTGAATAACGCATTTAAGCGGATCAAAAAGCTGCAGGGTCATATTATTACTTGATGATTAAAAAATAATGGATAGGATTTAGCTTTATTCAGTTCTGCCGGCATTATCTGATTGCATTTTCAGGAGGAACCTCTAGTTTAATACAATTATGAAGACATTCTTTGTTGAAACATCTTAAAATGAATCAAACTTGCTTTTAACAATAATGTTTTGAAAATAACCAGTACCAAAAATTATATTGAAGACACATGCAAACGACCAGGGCCTAGTACAGACATCATGAGATGACAACTAATATTAGTGTTGTCTCGCTAGTGTAAATGTGAACGGAACTAACGCCTAATGCATTATCTATAAGGAATTGATTTGTTCTATCTTATTAACAATGTTTTAAAACCTGACCCAGCCCAGTCGGTTTAACTAGTTCGACCGGAAACTGGTCACTAAGTTGGGTCAATAAAGGAAAAAAATCGATAATATGTATTCATCTGATATGACCCACATTTGGACCGGTGTTACTGTAGCAACTCGCCGGACCAATCGATTTTGGGGCAAAACCGAGCTAACTATTCCCTAATATTCTAAATCCCTTATTTGAGTTTTATCACTTATCATGGTTTTTGGCTCTAATTTAAGGTTCATTCTTTGTTAAAGTGAAGAAGAAGAAGAAGTAAGGGAAGGGGAAGGAAGAAGTAGCCTATTTGATTTGGACCTCGTTTGACCAAATTGCAATGGCCAAGGCCTTCTTGGCCGTCAAGTGAAATAAGGGGTAAGGGATGGAAGAAGAAAGAGAAGAGGAGAGAAAAATGTTACAATAGAGATAGGGGAAAGTGATTAAAGAAAGAAGAAAGTGACAGGTAGAGAGAAAAAAAAGGAGAAAGAAGAAAGTGACAGGGAGCGATGGTGAGAGAGAAAATAATAATTAATAATACAAGTTGCAAGGGTGCGTTTGCTTTATTTCAAACTTACAATGACTTATGAGTAGATTTTAGGGATGCATTTGCTAGTTTTCAAACTTATAAGGACTAATGGAATTGTTTAGAAAAGTGTCTATTGTACTTCGGTAAGATCGACCAATCCAACTTGTTGGACTGATTAACTCGAGCCGACCCTTTGACCGGGTCAATGAACAGTTTGGTTTTTAAAACATTGCTTATTAATGCTAAAATCTAGCCACATCACGTGATGTTTTGGTTGCATCAACTTAACAAATAGCTTACAAGAATAACCAGTTTGACCTTTACCAGAAGTACACACGCAAGAAAAGAAAGACTCTTATCATGTTAGCCACTACTAGCATTGCCATCATGTGTTCGGGTCAATAGCATTGCCATCAGAAAGTTGTAGAGTCAAATTATTACTTAGATGATTGAAACAGTAGTTGTCACACCCCATCCCGAGTGGTCCCTATCCCATTGGATCCAAACACTCCGAGGGACTCCAGATCCCAAGAGGAGGGTGAAATTTTTCAAAAACAATTTATAAAACTCCATTCATAAAACACATTTATTGTCATAAGTATAACTTAAAACGTAAATATGAAAAAACAGTTTACATAAAATGTTGTATTAGAGTGCGTTAAGATGTACAAGCATCATTCTGCTAAACATG